AATTATTCAGAAATCCTACACTGTGATTTCTGTTTTTTTTTCTTCCTCATTTTGTCTCTCATAGTTTAAGTTTCCCTATGATGAAAATGACAGACCTCTCTCATTTTTCTAAGTAGGAGAACTTACAGAATCAGTGGCTGACTAAATACATTTTGGCCCCACTGCAAATGTACCTTATATTATTTATTAACACATAAGAAGCAAAAAGAAAACAATAACAGTCCCATGTAAAGTACACTGGATTGGATCTCGTACATCAGATATCTGATCCAGCTAATTAGTCAATATTGTAGCCGATATCCAATCCAAGTATTGGATTAATGCATCGTCAGTTTTATGACCCTCTTCTTTACCCTGGCTTTTAACACACCTTGAGTTGTTGTTAGTATTTATACCATAAGTCAGTTGTGTATTTTAATTTATTTCTCTCATTTTATTTCTGATTGTTTAGTTTTACATTCTATTAATCTTTCTTATTGTATATACAGCACTTTGGCTAACAAGCAGTTTTTAAATTTGCCTTATAAATAATTTGGGCTGGATTACATAACACATTTTTTAAAGTTTTAAAAAATTAATTTAAAATACTGTTTTACTGTTGGATATTTATTGTTGTCCAATCTTTCAGAATAAAGGAGTTATTCTTCATGTTATTCTCTTACCAGGCTCATCACTGCAAGAACATGCAGAAAGCAAGAGAACTGTGGGATAATATCATGACTAAAGGGAATGCCAAATATGCCAACATGTGGCTGGAATACTATAACCTTGAGAGGTTTGTCTAATGAATCATAAGAGGCAAACTGTAGGTTACCTGTATTTGCTGAAGCTTTTGGGAGTAATGCCCTAACCTTTTCCTCTTGTGTAATCCATAGAGCTTATGGGGACATGGCTCACTGCAGAAAGGCTCTCCACAGAGCGGTTCAGTGCACTTCAGATTACCCAGAACACGTGTGTGAAGTCCTGCTCACCTTTGAGAGGGTAGAAGGTGAGTTTAATCCTGGAGATAACACAACCTTAATCTGTTTCTTTACAAACGTCTTATTAGGGTGCATTTTTACTTCAGAAAGCTTCTCTGGGGTCCCGGGTTGTTTTGTGGTTTTCTATGATGGTTAAAACATTACCAAGATATATTTGTTGATGTCCAAATATTTCTGATTGATTTCTGAATAGATTTCCCTCAGCAGGGAACCTTTGTGATTTTAGCTTTAGCTCACCTGCGCTTTAAATTTGGGTTGAATAAAATAAGGCAGGCTGTTGCATGTGTTTGTTTGAACATCAGTTTTTTTGTCTTGCAAAGGTTAAAGGAGAAGTCTGGTCATATTCAGAATTCAAAATTCTGGAAGAACTTTAAATATGAAATTATTAAATACTGTTCAATAAATGATAAGTGTTTTTATTTAAGATTAATTTTCATTTGAATGTGATTTACCGGAGACATCCATGTTTGTCAAAGAGCACTACTGCCACCTACTGGTTTGTGACATCATGGTGTGGGATCGGCTAATGATCAATTCCCAGTGCTGTATCTGGTGTTTTTTTTTTTTACAATCGCCATTATCCAAGTCATCTTGAAAACATTCTTTTTCGAAATCTTGGCTACATATGACGTGTTTTTTTTATCTGGCCAGAAATTTGATGGCAAATCCTCCCTCTTCAAGTTGGCAATCCAGCAACGAACCCGTCCGTAAACCGGAAATATGAAATAACTCATTTTTTCTCCACTTTTACCCGACGTATTATAACGTCCATCTGCCATGCACGTGGGCATTGTCACTTTAACAATAGCTTTTGCAAATTTCAACGGTGAAGTCTTCTGGAAATCTTCAATAATTGTGCAGGTGTCCTTACAGATCTATGTGTTTGCAATTTATATGTATTATGTGTTTAACCTTTTGAACTAAGTTCCTTAGCTTTTTTAATAACATTGAAGTATATAAAGTAATAGTGCAATTGTGGGCATTTTCCCCATTCTGGGTATTCTTCCAAATACACATTTCAAATGCTTCATCTTAGACGTTGTTGTCATGTTGTTTTATGTTATTCACACATAAATTCATAATGTAGAAAAAAGAATACAGATAGACTTAGAAATACAACAGATTTTGGAGAAAAATGGGAACCTTTTATTAAACTAATGACATTGAAAGCTCATATAAACATCACTTGTATAACTCGTATTGTTAACACTACTGACAACCATTCAGAAAGAGTGCAAAGAGTGACCTTAACTCATCTAACACCATATAACATGGTAAAAGTGGCTCAGAGTATTTAAGAGACAAAAATACATTTGTATATTGGATGTTTGGTTTTGTGTGTCAGTAAATCAATCTAGATCCAATATCCACCTTCAAAAGCTGCACAACAGGAAAATAAGATACTTGCAGAGATATTTAATGTTTCTGCTAATTTCAAATAGCTGACATTGGTAGATGTGATGCTTGGCCACATGTGTGAAGGCAGATAAAAATCATGATGGCTTTGGTGAAAGTGCATTAATCGTATTTTTATATAAAAATATCATGGATTTGTACATGTCTTGACTTAATTTAACAACTAAAACAGTTACATATATATCATTTGAAAACATTGTATTTTATGATGTAATTCAGGAAAACTCCACCTTGTAAAATCACATTTTTGAAGAGCCTTTTTTTTTCCATTTAAACCCACTAAATGATCACTTCAACAGTAAGCTAATGCCTCTAAATGTGTGTAGAAGCTCTGCCGTCCATGGAGCTGGACCTGGACAGGTACCGGCTGGTGGTGCGGCCTTCATCGATCATTGCATTCTCCATCTTGGAGAGTACAGAGCTCTTGAACTTCTGCTTGAAGTCGTTTCCCATGAAGACGTAGAGCAATGGGTTAAGGAAGCTGTTAGCTGATGCTAAAATTGAGCCCATTTGGAGTCCAGAGGTTAAAATATAGAAGTCATGCTTATGAGGGTTCAGCTCAAGTAAGACAAAAATGTGATACGGCAGCCAGCAGACGAAAAATGCAGCAATGAGCATTGTCATTACTTTGAAGGGTTTGGAGGATTTTGTCATCCTGTTGTTTTTGAGTTTGAGGATAATGATGGAATAACAGATGATAATTATGATAAAAGGAACCACAAAACCTGCAATGAGACGGGTAAAGGCAACAGCCTGGTGATTTTGTTTTGAGGTGTAATTGTTGCTGCAAGTGTGCCTGCCATCACTCCCAACATGTACATCCCGATCAATCATGGAGGGGATGCTCAGTCTGATGGCAAGAAGCCAAGAAAACACAACCACAGCTGATGCCTTTTGAACAGATCTGTGGTTTTGGGCCCAAACTGGAAACATTACAGACACACAGCGGTCCACGCTTATGACGACGAGGAGGAAGATGCTGCTGAACATGTTAATGAATAATGCAGAAGATGTAAACTTGCACATGAAGAGACCGAAGATCCACTCTTTCATCACTAAGTTGGCAATGTTAAATGGCAGGAAGACACAGAAGAGGAAGTCAGAGATTGCAAGGCTCAGGTACCAAGTGGTGTTCACTGTCTTCCTCATCTTAAAGCCAGAGATCCAAATGACCAGCATGTTCCCAAAAAAGCCCAGCAGGAAAATGACCACATAGATTACAGCCAGAGACACACACATGCCTTCTTCGCTGCAAGCTGGTTTGTGTTGGAATGGGTTTTCCACATTTATGGTGATGTTGTCCTCAGTGTAGTTAAAATATTCATAGAGCCAGTTGTATGTCTCAATTACACTGTCAAAATCATATTCGATGAACAAGTCGTCAAAACTGTCTGCATCCTCCATTTTGCCTTGTAGAACAAAGATAAAATTTCTGTGAGATTTTTCTTTTACAAACATAGCAACATTATCCAAAAAGTTGCATTAATTTTGGTTGATTTAAAATGAAGACTTAGTAACATCAAAGTGATCAGTTAAACCATACCTTTATTCTCTGATCCTCTGCTGCTGTCTTTTTGTGGTTGGTTTGGTCTAAGCTGAGCACCGTCTGAGCTTCTCCGTTTCATTTAGATATTTTAGAAACAGCATGATCAGCTGACATGGGAGGTTTCTCAATACTTGCATCCCCTTAATGATTTCAGTACTGCATTTTGAGCTCTTGATCTCCTAATTTTTATTTTCCTCAATGACCAAAGTAGGACCCCAACTTTTCTTCCAGATGTTAGATTTAATGCTCAGGAAGATTCAACAGCTGTAGTTAAACGGACAGCTAATAATATTGAGTGATTGAGCTTATTGTGATCGCTTCACATAGAAGAGGACATAAAACTGAGTTTTGTCTACATTTTCTTTACTGTACCGAAAAAGCAGAAGTGATATCTTCCAAACAGACAAATAAAGGCGTATATAAAACAACACAGGATGGAAAAGACTTTTCAAACTGATACCCTGCTTCTGATCCCTGAGTTTCAGAGTAAAACTGACAGATTTCTTACCTATATTAACCAGTCAATGTGCTTTATCCCATGAATCTAGACAAATATTAATACATCACTTCTACTTTTTTTTAGCATTAGCAACACCATCCTTATGAACATATAAAAGAAGTGTCCTGATGTCTAAATCATTGTGTGTTTTGGTGTTCTGTACATAAGGTTTTTATGAATCCATTTAGAGTTTCAGTCTTAGTTGCTTTGTGTTTTCAGTTTCCTGGTTTTTCTTCTTCTATTTCAAGGGTATCGGACACAGACTTCTACTTTATGACATATGTCTTTCTTGGGTCTTGGGGGCCATATACAAGGCTATGATGGTTCTGATCGGCCAGTGGGCCTTAAGTTGGACACATGTTCTCTGTGTTAGTTTTGTCCAAACATTTTCCCTCATCAGATTTCTTCTGTCTTTGCCCTCTGATCCCACTAAGCTGTTTTTACATCGGATATGATAAAATATAAGATTGTGTGCTTTGGTTTTAGGTGTATGTATCAAAAATAAAATCAAACTTGTGCATATACTTATTGCTTTTAAAATTAATCACTTATCAGTCCTTCAAGGGAGCAAGAAATAAAACCCGTGGAGAAATAAAACTATTAGAAAACATATAAGAAGTTAAGGGATTAAAAAGGAAAGACAAAACTAAAAATAATTCAGAACCAAAGTAACAAATCCGGTTCTCTTTTATCATCATTGTTAAGTAGAGAACCAGGGAAATGGAACATTTCTGAAATTGAAAAATACCAAAAATCCAAATGGGAAAAAAATGTATTTTAACAATTCCGAGTTATTAATACCTGTAATTATGAATTTCATTTTTACAATGAAAACCAAAATAGTTTCACATTCCTTTTCTGTGTCACTCCTAAACCTCATGTAGCTATCTGGTAAATTAGGAACTAATAGATTGTATAAGCCAGAATATCTGATTTACTTAGATGCAAGATCACTTTAAAAACCTGCCTTGGAGATTACATTTTTAACTGAAGGCTAAGGTTATAAATAATCAAACACATGCATGCTAGAAAAGGTGAAGACTTCATTTGTGAAACGTTCTGGTGTCTCTAATGAATCCTGGACTCTTGTTCTACAGTTTAGAAGATGCCAAAAGGGGTCTTTTAGATTCAATTCAGCTTTAATGGCGTCATCAAAAGGAATGATCTATACTGGTGACCCGTTTACCGACTGATTTATTTATTTACCTGACAGTTTCAGATTGTTAGAAGGGTAGCATCAGTAAAAAAGAAAATGGTCTTAACTCTGACACTCAGACTGTTAGCTATGGTTTCGTTTCTGTAAAAAAGGTTGTGTGTTGTATTTTTCAGTAGTCAGCACTTTATGCCAGCACTTTTAGTTGATGGCTCTAAAATCCTAAAACTTCACCAATAAACTCTGACAAGTGCTAATGAGAGAAATATGCATTCAAAGGGTGGTGTTAGGATTACTCATTCCTAAGAAAAGACACACTGATAAAAGATCAGTTTGATCTAGGAACTTAAAAATGGAATAGTTTTTAGATAAACTTAACTCTGTCTCCATTCTGTGTCTACATATCTATGTCCCTACAATCCACTTGATCAAATTCTCCCCTATTGTGAGAAATAATATTTTGGGATGACCTACATAAAAATAAAAAAAATATTGGCACAAATTTATTGCACAAATTTTACCTTTGTACCCTTTTTTTAATTGAGCATCAAGGCCTGCAGTGTGAACGTAGCCTGAGGTCTTGAACTCCCAAAGATCTGCGATTTTTGTGATTATTTTGCAAGTGATTGTTTTCAACTTCTCACATTGTTAATTCTGTTTACAGAAAAGTTGGTCTGATACAGGAAATTAATCTGTTTTTAAAAGTTAAAGTACAACATTTATTGGAGGTGATTACAACGATTATTCATTCATCTCAGTTTATTTATCCAGTGCCAATTCACAGCATGTCTTCACTAACATAATTCCCAGAATTTCTGCTTTAGCAGCTTTAAGTAATGCTGTTTTATGGCTTTAGCTACAACTAATGCACTAGTGTTTACTCTGCACCTCCAAAAGAGAGAAGTAATGAAGCTTTAAGGCATGCATAATTAAGTGAGACCATCTTGTGAAATGCTTTCAATGTTTCCGAGAAATCATTCGTTTTGTATGTTCCTGGTAGCTGCCACACATAGTGAGCAACATGAGCAACTGCACCCTGATGACCAAAATATGGCCCTAACTTTTCTTGCAGATGTTAGATTTAGTTCTCGGAAAAATTCAACAGCTGGAGTTAAAAGGACAGCTATTTATACTGAGTGAGTGAGCTTAATGTGATAACTTAATAAATCAAATAAATCAAATTCTCCCCTATTGTGAGAAATCATATTTTGGGATGACCCACATAAAAAAAAAAAAAAAAAAGTTGCAAACTTTACACAAAAGCTATGAAAAGGCACAAACTATGACAATGAGGTGAAGGGTTTATTTGGGTTTTATTTCCAAATATTTCTTGGTTTTATTTTTGTTTTGATGCGTTTTTTCTGTTAAAGACTGAAATCCATTAGATTAATTTTGGATATTCATTATGTCTGCAATTCCAGCGTTCTTTAGTAATTTGTATCTTTGAGAGAGTATGCTTATATTATTTTGCCATTATAATTTTAGAAGTTAAAATGGCCTTACAACAACAACAACAACATTATTTGTTATTTAATCATTGCTGGGATAATAAACCATCCAGCAAAATATCTTATCATGTCAGGCCTATTCAGGAGTTTGAATCTTGAAATTCATTTCAAATCTGTAATTACACGCTTTCAGATAGTTCAAAGTGACTTTGGTTGGCATTTAAATCAATGTCCAGAGGTCCATACACTGATCTGATCTGTTATGTAATTGAAAGTATTGAATGGGGTGGCATTATAACTAATATAAAGCACTTTTTCTCCTCATTATCAATCAAAAATAATTAAATACATTTTCCTCCACCTTTGTGTTGCTGTTGTTTTCTTTTGCGGGTGGGACGTTAGTAACAGTGGGTGGATCTTTATTAGTTCAGCAGCATAGCTTTCTCGTAAAGCATGGATATTACAAGTCAAAACTTTTTTTATTGCCACCTTCAGAACAAGAACACATTTCTTGGTTCTTGCGGGATATGTAACAACCTTAAAACTATTTAAGCTGCATACCATCAATTATACAATTTAACATAAAAAAATGCATCTTTCAAAAACATTCTCTCTCCTGTAGTAGAACAAATGATCCACTTAGTATCAACAAACAAAGATCCCGGTTTTGTGCAAACGCATACAGCATATGGCCTGGGTATAAAATTAGATGTTATGTAACTAATTTCATTGTTTAAAGACATATTTGTTTATATTAGAACGAAGAACGTCTGTCTTCTCAGTGAGCCTAAACAGCACTCAGATATTTAGCTTACATTTTTCACTGAGTTGTTAGCCGCATTCCAAGCGCTAAACAGGATTTCTGCTGCAGTTTTCCACATTATGGTTCCCCGCAATGGTTTGCTGCAAATTTATTTATGTTTTTAAATTTAAGAACTCAATAATTGCATTTGATCCAATTGTGAACAGTTTATTTGTAGCCAGTGTAACCAACTGGCTGGGAACATTTTCCCTTCAATCAACAGCTTGGAATCTGGTTTGATAGAGTTAATGTAGTGGTACTTAGAGGTTCTGGAGATATCCATTTTGCAGGTTGCTTTGCTTTATCAATCAAAACAACACGCAGTAAGAATTTGAATCGATATTTTTTGATGTTCCATTTCTAATGCAGGTACTTTGGAGGACTGGGACACAGCAGTGCAAAAGACAGAGACGAGGCTAAACAGGATAAACGAGCAGAGAGCAAAGGTACAGCACCATTTAGTGATGCACTTTGTGCTAGCATATCATTTGGCCGTGTGCGGATAATCTTTTTGTTTTTCCCCGTCTGTCAGGCCGCAGAGAAAGAAACCAACATGGCACGTCAAGAGGAGGAGAAAATGGAGCAGCGACGGAAGGCCAAGGCAGAAAAGAAGAACCAGAAGAAAGGCCAGAGGGCGACTCGAGGTGGAGAGAAGAGAAAAGCAGAGCAGGATGATTATCAGGAAGACTGGAATGAAGAATCTGGTAAAACTGGATTAAAAGAAAGCGATTCAATTTTATACATTTTATTTATTTCTGTGAGATAATTTTTTTTCTGGTCCCTTTTACTTTACAAGCTCCTAAAAGGCAGAAAGGAAACGGTGACAACACAGAAGAGTACATGGAGACAGAGACTGGAGGAAGGAATGCTCCTCCTGGTTATAAGCCTACTCAAGATGGAGCTAAAAATGCCCAGCAGGGGGCAGTAGCTGCTGCACAGAGGCAGAATGATGACAAACCGGAGCTGCGGGATGACAGCTGCAGCGTGTTCATCAGTAACCTGGCGTACACCCTGGAGGACCCAGAGCCCAAGCTAAAGGCGCTGTTTGAGAGCTGCGGCCCCATCAGGCAGGTTCGGCTGGTCACCAGCAACAGAGGGAACTTCAAAGGTTACGGATATGTGCAGTTTGAATCTGTAGTCTCAGTGGCCGAAGCCCTGAAGATGGACAGAAAGGAGCTGGAGGGCAGACCTATGTTTGTGTCACCCTGTGTCGACAAAAACAAAAATCCAGAGTTTAAGGTTAGTAGATACCAATTTCTGCATACTTTGATGCACAAAAAGTGTTTTCATATTTCATTTTGATTTATTTTAATCAGTTTTATCCATGTCATATTGAATTAATTACTAGTGAAAAAACATCAGATTCAAATACATTTCTTAAAGTCAAGTTGTTCCCTCCCATCCTTTATACATTTTTTTTATTTATTAAATATAAAAACAGTAGAAACCTGAAACATATCTTTGATATAAAATGTATTTAAAATTTGTGCAGTTGTATCCAGACTTTGAACTGACACTGAATTTCAGCAGAAATCCTTTAAAGCTCCTATTATGTAAAACAGGTTTGATAAAGTCTGAAATTTTCATTATTCTCTGTCAAATCAGTCACTGTAGTCATTTATTTGAAGGACTACTAGTAGAGAGAAACTGGACTGATCATCAATATTTGTTGATTTTCTTTTTCTTCCTCCATTTAAAGGATAAAAGTGACTCAATGATAAAGATTACACATCTCAATTTTAATTAAAAGAAACCTTTATTAACAAATAAAAAAGATATTTGCATGTGATAGATAATGAAGGGAACAGCAATGAATGCCCTTCACGTAATCACAAGGAATGGCTGCTGATGAAAAAGTTAAATTGGCATATTATTGACCAACGCTGACACTAGAAAAAAGCCCCACAAGTATCGGCCAACAATGTTTCCTGGTCGATGTAACGCCTAGTGCTTAGATTTTGCCATTGTTGTGTTTAGGTCTAGCAGAATATTTTCTTTTGGGTTTTTTGGACTGTTAAAAAATGACTCCTCGGTTGTTGTTTTTTTAAATCTGAGGAGAGATTACTCACTGCTCTCTGTAGTGGACAACCCGGTTGATATATTGATGTCCACTGTAGGTGTTTAAGTACAACACATCGATGGAGAAACACAAAATCTTCATCTCTGGGCTCCCATTCTCGTGCACTAAAGAGCAACTGGAGGAGATCTGCAAAAATCACGGCACCATCAAGGATGTTCGTCTGGTCACGTACCGATCAGGGAAACCTAAGGTGAGAACTTTTTCTGTCTGCACCACCTTCACTTCTTCACAATTTGTAATGTTATAAACACTTCCAAGTATTTCAATGCAATTTTCTGTCTCAACAACATAAAGTAGATCTGCAGAAGGTTTTAACAATAACTTAAGTTTCTTTTCCCCCCTTCCTTAAAGATCCCAGGCATGAAGGGTTAAAAGTCTTTCTGTTGACAAATTATCCTTTCTGAGCTCTAGATCTCTGTTGCTCACACTATTCATCTATTCATATGTTTCCAATAATGCCAACTAACCTTTGAGGCCTTTAGATAACATTGGTTTTATATCAGGAGTAAATTTATATGCAGGTTAATACAGTTGGTTGGATTTTATTTTATTTAGGGGTGTCGGTAAAGAGGTCATACTAAATATCATGGCACATTCCCATTTGTAAAGCACTTATTAAATTGTTTCACCTAATTTATATCTTGTGCTCCTTTGTGTTAGTCTGTCAGTTTAAACCGATTAGATTACATTTAGGAGTTTGAGGCAATCATGAACAGGTCAATGGGTGGGAATATTTTAGCCAGACGCTGTAGCCAGAAGAGTTTATTTAAAGGATTTAAAGACGAGCATCTTTGCTACATCCTGGTTTCTGGCTCTGCAGGGTCTGGCATATGTCGAGTTTGCAGATGAAAAGCAGGCTTCTCAGGCAGTGCTGAAACTAGATGGCATCGATGTGGAGGGGAACAAAATCACTGTTGCCATTAGCAACCCTCCACGCAGAAACCCGATGGATAAGCCTGGTTCCAGCAGGCCCATGGGAGACATAATGCCTCATCAGGTCTACGGCTCGTAAGTTCACCAATATTTACTCTCTAATTCCAGCATGTTGTCGTCATCTTTGTCGCTAAAAGCGCTAATGAATCTTGTGTTACAGGAGAGGGAGAGGACGCACTCAACTTTCTCTACTCCCTCGCTCTCTGCACCGTCAAACGGCGCCTCCGGGCAAGGTGGAGAACGGGACCACAGCCGAGCGAGAGGCGCCACCAACAGGAAGCGCTGCAGCCAATGCGGCCGGAGAGTCGAGGTCTTTGTCAAACTCAGACTTTGCAAAGATGCTTCTCAATAAGTGAGCGAAAGCAAAGGGGAACTGTGAACTCCTTTACACTGAAAGCCATCCTGTGTCCTTACAAATTAAGTGTTGGTGATTTCTGCTGTGATCAGTTACCTGATGGTCCCTTTAATCGCACTCACAACCTTCATCTGTTCTGCAAGATTGCCTTATCCATAAAGACGTGTATCATATTTGTGTGTAAATATGTGAAGTTTTCTGCTTTTTTCTGTGTACTATTTAAGGGATCTGATTTGAGAGTATTTTTTAAATATTCAAAACAACCGAACTTGTGAGTGTTGATTTTAAAAGGGGGAAAAAAAGGCATATGCAAAGTCTCTGACAAAGTGTGAAATAGTTTGTGTACAGTGTGGATGTGCTTTGATGGGGTTTTATTTTTTCTTGTGTAGACATTTTTTGTTATTGTATACTTTTTTTTTAAGTCATTACTAGGTTATTATGGAGCACACCTGAATCAAGTTGACACAGATTAACATTTTTTATCCACTGTGTTGTACAGTGGAAAAGCCATCACTCTCCTGAAGCTGGATTCTTCTTGTTCTTAAGATGCGGTTCCACCCTTTGTTGGTTTTATTTCATCAGATCTGCTAAGGATCAGAATGTACACTTTCCCCAGTTAAGTTTCAGCCTCAGTCTGATGGTTCTTTACAGCCCAAAATAGGTTTAATGGGAGATGAACTGGATTTGCTTAATGCTGTGAAGCCTAAAAATGGTTGGACTCTAAAGAAGTCTGCTCTATTGGGGAGAATTAAACTGATTGGCTTATTTTCTTTTTTTAGTTCAGCTGTGTGGATCACCAAGAACTTAGAGGAACCTCTTGTTAGTTGTAATTAGATGTCAAGCAAATTTATTCTCAAGTGTCAAATTTCTTAAGTTTTCTTTGAAATGGGTAAAAAAGTTACCTAGCTCAGTTGTGATTTGTTTGCATTTAAACTTTAAAAGGAATGTGCAACTGTAAAGATGAAGCTGATTTTAGTGTTTTAATCCTTAAAGTTGGTTTCATCCTCAATAGTTGTGTTTAACAATCTTTTCTGTCATCTGACATGTAGGACGGTGGAGAATCTATGCAGTTTTTCCATGTTGGGGTAAAAAGGTTGGGTTCTTGTACATACTGTTCAGTAACACATTTCAGAAAGATTTCCTAAGTTTGTAAAAACAAAGACAGATTTACATTTTCAGATGGTATGTATTGCTCTCACCACAGTGCCCTGTCTAAAGTGAACTAAAAGTGTAAATACGAGTCTGAGGTCATCTTCTGTTTTATTGTCCAGTATTAAATGGTTGTATTGTGAGTTTTGCCGTTTTGTATGATTTTTTAGGTTAATGTTTTAAATTTGGAGGATCTGAAAAGAATAAAAGGCTTTCAGAATTAGTCACTATTTTTTAAATGTGCATCGTGAAGAAAGGTCATTTGATTTAGTATTCAGACAAAAATGAAAAACAATCCACTGGACTTGGTTTCCAACTTGGAAAACAAGTCCAGTGGATTGTTAATTTTTTTTGGAATGACTATGACCTGGATGACTGAGAACCTTCACCAGCATTTCATTTAGTAATTAAAAAAATATTTTAATTTAGTTGCAGCTTAAATCTTATTTTTTAAATCTGATCAGACTGATATGGTTTAATTATAATCTACAGGCTGTATTCACAGTTGCAAGGAGGACATTTCTGTAACAGTTCTGTGAAGAGTTTTTCCTGTACGCTAAATTCCATTTTTCCACTGGTACCTTATTCCTAAGTTTAAAATGGAGTTCATTCTCTCCTTTCCTTGCATACTTTTCCTTATCTTCCTTTTCTCCCTTCATGTCTGTCTGCTTACCTTTTCCCATTTTTAAGTGTTCTTAGGTATTTTAAACATCCTTTCTCCCTGCTTTCTTTGAGTGCTTCAGTGCTTTTTTTTCTGGTTCCAAATTTAAAGCTCTTCCACCATGAATATATTTACCATTAGTCTGAGAGCTTAAATATTTTAGAGTTAACTGAACTGTTTACAGAGTTATGTCAATCATAGATCAGACTGGCTGTTCACGGGGTGCCATTTTCTTGCATTAGAGGGAAAGTTGAAAGAAAAAATTGTGCACTAGAAACAAAGAAAAGCTTTGAATCATGAAGATCTAATTTAAGAGTTGGGTTAAGGAATGGAGGGTTATAAGCAAGGGTTTATAAATAAAAATGCCATTTTTAATATTCCAACAAAATTTTAGGTTTTTAATAGATTATAAAGAAGTTAGCAGAACTTCACACTTGACGTGTATCTTTAAGTAAACTGAAATTTCAAATTTGCTGACTAAAATGACTTCATCAGATTCTAAATGCATTGAGATGTTTCTGTAGGTTCCCTTTGCTGTGTTTTTGTTGTCATTAAAAAGAATTAAAATCTCTTAATCTAAAATGACTGCACATGCTAAAGAAATAAGTCACTTTTATTCTAAAATAAATACATGAACGTGCTTTACAGTTTTGTCAACAAACTTTCAAGAGAAACACTTAAACTCTTTACTTGTAGCTTAAAAATGAAAGAAGTTTGAAACGTCTGTTTGCACTTAAAGATCTTAAGATTTGAATTTGGCAAAAAGACGAGATTTAGCACAATTTAAGCCACTGATGGAAAACCTTTCAGATGAACTAAAATGTATTATTACATTGTGGAAACTCATGCCCCCATTTTCCTTAACCCTTCTATTTAGTTGTGTACAGGAATGGTCTGTTTGCAGCTGGGACAGGCCTGGTTCCGGTCGGCTTCAGGGAGTCCGACCGCGTGCTCGGTGGTGGAAATCAACAGAGTGTCCAGTGTCATTTCCGTACACTTGGCTATGAATCGAATGAAAGGACGCACATCCCCCTCGTTGGCCGTGTTCAAAGTGGAGTAATATTCAGCCCTTTGCTCTTTGCGAATAGTAATCGGTGGATACCTCGCCTGCATCAGAACAAGGTTCATGAGCAGCCGTGACGTGCGTCCATTTCCGTCTATGAATGGGTGTACGTAAACCAGTTTGTAGTGGGCAAGAGCTGCGTACTCCACCGGGTGCAGCTGCAGGGCTTCCTCCGAGTTCAGCCATTGCACCAGCTCATCCATATGTCGCTGCAGGTCCTTGGGGTGTGGTGGGATGTGTTGGCCCACAAACACCTGGCTTGTGCGCAACCGACCGCCTTCCACAGGATCCACATAGCCAAGCACTCGTCTGTGAATCTCCAGGATGTTGCTGACAGTGATGGCTCCCGATCTTGACAGCAGTGTGGTGTTGATGTACTTCATGGCTGCATCCACGCCGATTGCCTCATTTTGCTCCTGAAGGCTCTTCCCGGGAACGGCGTAACGTGTCTCGATGATATGTCGGATCTCTGACAGAGTCAGGGTGTTTCCCTCTATTGCCACAGTGTGATAAATGTGGTGGTAGTAGGTCTCCTCCATCACTCGACGAAGGGCGGAGTTACCTTTGGGAATGGACATAAGCCTGCGCACTTTGCTGTCGATTAAGCTGAAGTAGCGCTGGTCAATCTCTTCCACCAGGGGAAGGGTTCGGTCTCTGCTGACCAGAGCTCTCTCATTACATGGTGAGAGGGCCAAGGCCTTCGTATAGAGGTGGTCTGCCTGAACGACATCCTTTTCCTCCTCCAGTATGGTCCCCAGCTCTGTCAGAGCATCCACAAAGTCAGGGTTCATACTAAGAGCATGCACCAGCAGCTTGTGAGCCTTCTCTCTCTTCCCAAGTTTCTTCATCTCCAGAGCCTGCAGTAGTGCTGCTTTGGCCTCCAGCTCCATCTCTGCATTAAAAAAAGAAAACTCTAAATTAGGCTAGAAATTTGACTTTTAGAAAACCAGGGGCTGCATAATGACAAACCTGTTCTTTAAGAGTTTGCGCTGCCACCCTATTACATCTGAACCTTTTACAAATTTCTAATGTATAAAGTCTTATTTAGGTGTGCAAGCTGATGTATAACTAACTAGCCTGTATAAAATAACGAAAAAACAAAACAGATTTTAAGACATGATTTTTTTTTTTAAATAGAAATTTTCTAGCTTTTGGGACAATATCATCTGATAAAAAGTACATTTATATACATGTTTAAGCCAGAATGATTTGAAATTTAAATATAACTTCCCTACGACTTTAAAGTAAAAACAATCTGAAATGAATGATGTGCAATTATATTCTCTTTGTTTAACTGTGGTAATCCTAAATAAAATGCAGGGAAATCAACCGTTTTTAAAAGTCTTCCAGTAAATATGTCCAACTGTGTAATTTAGCTATGGTATGAAAACATTGTCTCTGTCTTTGTATGTTTTTCTTTTTTAACTGCAACAATGGTTGGTTCTCACGAGCACTTTTAACTCATGTTTGGATGTATTTTGTTTTTAAACAGTTTGATTATTTTCTATCAAATTACCCTGAATGGGACAATATGATATTGAGACTGGAAAGTTAGTAAAACTTCATTTTATGATGGAAGGAACCAAGCACAGGTAAATAAGGGAAGAAAAGCTGTTCGACTGAAGACCAGAGGAAAGGTTCACTTTACAACAGAACTACTACCTGCAATCTTTTTGTTGGTAATTTCCATTCATTTCTTACAATGATAAAATGAAAGTTCTGCCTTAAATCAAATTGGGAATCTATTGCAAGAGCTGAATCCAGATGTTCAGATATCCTACCTCCTATCTGAGCTTGAGATATTTGCAAAGAGTCTCTTTGCAGGGTAGGTATGCCTTGAAAGATTTGAAGCTTTTACTGCAGAAAATGGCAGTTTAATTAATACGACCAATTCTTTTTTAAATTTGTATTTGAAGAACAAGTGATAATCTTGTTTAAAATACTTTCCACTTCACAACTTTTAGTATTTCTGTCTTAAAACCCCAAGTAAAACACACAGAATGTGATGCTTACAAGAGGACAATGTTATAGGGGTGTGATTACTTTAAAAGGGCAATACAAACAGTCCATGCTATTAATACTAAAAGCGAAATAATAAATCTGAATCATCTTAAACATCTCTTAAACATATGGCAGGTGCTTTGACACGTTTGTGTTTACCTTTGCTGGGTTTGGTCTTCTGAGGCAGAAGATCCAGAGCTGTGAAGGGGACAGTCAGGCTGGTGGACTGCACAGCTGGAGGAGACTGTGAGCTCCCCCACAGCTGGCAGCGGAATTGGGCGATACCTTTCAGGGAGGCACAGCACTGGTTTTGCATCCCAATAAGAGGCAGCAGCAGCATGGCAACCAAAGAGCCAAGAACCACGCACAGCACTGGGCCCCATCCTCCGAGGAAACGGCGGCCGTTGATGCACCGCCATTCCGTCACAGCAGCCATTATGAGCCCAGGTTAAATCCGACATCGTTCAGTGGTAACAGCCCCCCATCAAATTCCACCGTGTAAAGAGCCTAAGGGTGGCAGGGAAGAAGAAAAACTCGGCTACAATGCACACCTGCCCGGTCACCGGCAACTTTCGGAAACATACACTAGTCGTTTTAATTTAGCCTCTCTGTCGTCAAAAGGTAGCCTCCTACTGTTGAAGCGTTACAGCAAAATTAACAATTAAAACTTTAGGGAAGCGTTTATGTTCTCGACGTTGGCTTGCCTGTTTACAAGACGTATACATAAGCACTTCCGCTTGCTTACGCAGGAGTAATCTCGCTTGTTATTGGCCAAAGCACTTATTGAAAAGCAGTTTCTATTGGTTAAAACTTGAAGAAAACGCTTAGTGGTTCGTAACCGTCTCTGATTGGTTGATGTGTGGGGTAGTATTCCCTCAATGAAATCTGACAGGTAAGCACCTAACCTAACACGCAGATGATTGAGAGTTTACACAGAAATCTCAGAGATAGTTTACGCAAAAATTTGAAAATTGTGTACCGTAATTTGGCTTCCCCAATAGGTTAAGATGGGATAGTGTCTTATTTGTATATTTTTACCTACTTCTGGAATAAACCTTCTTCACTGTTGTTGTGTGTACATTAATTTTAAGTAGATTAGGTAGTGATTTCTGTATATGCAAGATTGTTCATATATGAGGTTAAGAATTAACATTTTTCTCCTGTTTACTAATGTGTTTATTTTTCAATTTTGTTTTCCTTCTTGGATTAACACTTTATCTTTTTATCTACCTCTACATATAGATTACTACTACAGATTTATTGACACTTCTGTTAAAAATGTGTAAAAACGGTTTCAGTGGTTTTTCACATTCTGAATTTATTTCTTAGAAATTACTTCAGAAAATGCATTCAATATGCTAAGCAGTGACATTTGACAAAATCTCTGATCAAGCTGTTATGTGACCCCTGCTGGTAATATTTTTTACAAGCTTTTTACTAATAGCATCCACTAAATCCAAGACAAATCCAGGTTGGATTTAGGTCTGGGGACTGAAATAGGACTGAAATGGACATAAAGTAAGATTGAGTTTTAGTTTCTGGTGAACTATCTGTTTTGATTTTGTAATACATTATACAGTCCTTATCTTGCTACAAGTCCTAATTTGAATCCATTCTCAGCTTTCTGTCAGAGTTCACCATGTGTTTTAAAAAAATCATGTTGTCACAAACTTCAATAAGTTTCCCAGAGTTCCTTGAAGAGGAAAGGACCCGCAGCATCACTGATTATATTTCATAATTTATGGTGAGATACAGATACCTTTCTGTCTCTGAAGGTAATTAGCTCCACAAGGATTAATTAGGGCTATCAGGATGAAAAAAAAAGTTGAATACATATTCACTTTAGATCAATACTTATTTAGGTTTTAATTTTATCATTGCCATCTTATTGTTGAACTGTAATTTGTTCTCTGTTACAGAAAGCAAATATATTTCATCCTCTATCAGCATCTAGGATTTACTCAACAGGTTCCTATTTTTAATATAACACCAAGTTAATACTGATAATTTTATAGGTGCATATGTAAATCTATTCAACATTCTAATATTTTAATCTGATTTACAAAGATGTCAACGCTTTTAATACCCACTTTCACCAAGTAGACTGTCTGGCATGTTTCCAGCTTCTTACCATTTATCTGATGTTAGTTTTAGACTAAATTAATTGGAATAAAGGTAATGATGGTTCTCTAGTGTGTGGTAATATAACTTTTCAAATGTTCTATTACTTTGATTTTTTTCTGTATGTTTTATAAAGTGAAAAAAATAACAGAAAGAAGGTTATATTTACTGATTTCAGGATAGAGATTTTTTTAAATGATACAAAGCCTCTAACTGTTTTCTTGTCCATTATGAAAGAAAACAGGCAAATAATAAGGAATTACAGAATTCTGAATACACATTTTTTAAGCAGCATCTTTTCATAGAGAAAGAAAATTTTATATTTCTATTTGAGTATGGGGAAGAAACAATCACATTAAGTTTGTTCTTTTTTATTCCACATAGGCACCATTCTCCTAAAAAAGATGGAACTGAAGCATTTGTTTAGTTATTTATTTCAGTTTAGTTGATTGGGGTTTCTACGAACCTCTAATTAGTAATCCATGACATTTATTGTCTCTGAGCCATGAATGAGAGACGCTAACGTTTGTTTTTTCTTTTCTAATTTCTGAAAGGCTGCTTTTCCAGAACAATGTGCAGGACAATAAGAAAGGTCAGAAAATGTCACCTCTAGAGAACTACAGGAAAGACTGCCTTTAGAGGATGTTGGCACGACAGGCATTACATCTGTCTTCATATCAAGTGTTTTTTTGGGGGGGAATTCCAGGAAAGTTTTTTCTCTTTCCTATCAACACCTGAAAAGGGATCAGTTTGTAACAGAAAATTTGTGACGATTGCAAGAGTGCCTAAATTTATGACGGGATTTATGTCTTTATGACGGGATTCATAGTGTCTCTGCAGGTTATATTCTTTGAATACCGCTACCACCTCTTGACAAATGAGACAGACAGCCTTTTCTTTGCATTAAACAAGAAAAAAATTATCGTTTGTCCAATTCAGGTTAAATGCCCTGCATTCTGAATCAATTTTTCTCTTACCTAATCTTTTTGCCATTATTCCACTCTCTCTGTACAGAAGAGGATTAGGGCCATTCAAAAGAAAAAAAAGACTAAAAAGACTTTTTTTCCCCCTCTGAATTTTGACTTTTTCCTCAGAATTCTGAGAATAAAATCAGAATTCGGAGAAAAAAGTCAGAATTGAATAGACTTTTTTTTTTTTTTTTAATGGCCTTAATCCTCTTCTGTATCTCTTTGAGAGGGGCGGGTTTAAGATTTTTTGCTGGGGAATGCCAGATAGGGGCACAGACCCCAAAAGGGTGGAACATTGTCAGGTTTTATGTGTGTATGAAATAGTTACTAATAGTTAATAATGAAAAAAAAACTTCATAATTAAGGAACATTTTATTGCAAATGTCCAACTTTATTATCAAATACAAAAAAAATACACTTATATGAAAATACTCTCTGGCATTGTTCAGGGGGCCGGACCAAATGTGGGGGCCGGATCCTGCCCACGGGCCGTAGTTTGGGGACCACTGCCTTAAGGGATTCATGTTAAATATTTTCAACCCCTGTGAGATTTTATAACTTACTTACTTACGTAAGTGTTTGGAATCCAAAACACTGGAATTTTTTCTTTAAAAAATGGATTAAACTTAAATGACCAAGTTTGTTTGAAAAAAAAAAAAAAAAGGATTTTAAGTTTTTCCATTGTTTACATCATAATCAACAGTTTAAATAGAAAACAAAAATATGCAGAAAGATCCCTTACAGTCATAAAAAAGGACAAGATAAAATAAAACTGTGTAATTGTGCAACCAGTCTTGTAATATATTTTCTTATATACATAAAAGAGGAAGGTATGTTTTAGTAGTATAAAATGCCTATATTGTTTCCAGCAGTGTAGCTGTTTGATTTTCATTGTGTTCACATCAATTCCTGTGTTGGCTCGTGGTTTTAATTGGCACTAGACTTGTAATCGTCATGAATGGAGAAAAGGTCAACCGAAACGTTTCTTTCTGCAGACTTAATTGTTTGTTGCTGCTTGGAGCTGTTCCGGTTTGCAGATGACCCACACTGCACTGAAATGGATTTGCACTGAGCAGACTGAATGGTGGCCTTTGATGCCCATCAAATGCCTTAGTTTCAGACACTAAAGGAGTTTTTAACCGCAGACATCAGGGCAACAGGTTTAAAGCCTGTCATTAATAAAAAAAATAAAAAAAAAATAAAAATAAAAGACTTAGTCTTGTTCTTTAAACAGCTTATAATCCCTAACAATGTGTAAACAAGTCCTGGTCTCATATGGGAGGCTAATTTCCACAAACACACCCAACGGTTTTTAAGGTCAGTCTGAAAGTGTGTCACATGGAGCTTAAATCAGCTGCACCCTGTTTGGAATTACAAATCTTTCTTTTCCTTGGCAACACCAGTTTCCTCTCAGAACCTATCTGCACATTCCCAATTTGATTATCCATCCATCATCCTTTCCTGCTGGTCTTTGCAGATTTGAATGGGAGCTAAATGCTTGTCATTTAGTAGGAGATAAACCCTGACTGAGTTGCCAGTCTATCATGGCAGAACACAGATATAGAAAGAACATGAGGCACACCCTCATACATAGTGGCAATTTGGAGAGAGCAAATATACTTAACATATGTATTGTTCTATGGAAGGGGGTTCTTGTACACAGATAGAACCATGTATGGACAGCAGAGAGAGGCCAGGCTGGGATTTAACCCCTCAACCTTTTGATGTAAAGCAACAGTGATACCAGGTGTTTCAGTGTGCAGCCCCCCTTTTGATGAGTTCTGAATTTTTATTTTAAGGATTATAAAAATCTACCATAGAAGTAGAAGTTATGAATGCATTTGAAAATGAGGGAATGTGTGATTTGATGTGTTTTGAGAAGAACAATGATGGCGGATCAGATATTTAATAAACATAAAAAAGATATTATATCCAAAAGCATGTTGTATAACAATAGCTTTTAGTTGGAATTGCACTATTACAGCATCCCAAGCTTTGCATTGCAACTATATGGCCACTTTAATATAGTTTCAAACACTAGAGGGTAGCATTGTTCCTTTATGTTTAGTTCCCCTGATGATCACTTCTATTTCTTACTGCAGTACTCATGGCCTAAAGATTAATCTTTAAAGGCATGAACATATGCCTTGAAGATTTTAGACACAATCTGATAAGAGAGTCTGAAAGTTTTTAAATCAAAGTTCTTTTTGTAATGCATAGTATCTATTTATAGCAGCCGTTAATGTAATTACCACCTGCTATGAACAGCATGAGGTGATAGGGACTGACTCCTGGATGTTTGCCAAAGCCAACGCACATCTCTTCAACAGATGGGCATTGGAGGCGGTCAGCTCTAAATAGCTGTTATTCTGGAACAGACTGTTACTCTGCACCAGTCACACTCACCACTGCTTCTGCAGTTAAAGTTATGAATGAATGACTGTGTCATTGTTTCATTTTGCTCTTTTTTTGCAATGAGTTTGTAAGGAATTTCTCATTGTGCTGCTGAACCCATGACATTTAACCCTTTGAAACAGTCTTTGTCTTCTCTGAACAACAATTTCACCTTCAACAAGAATGTGGATGACTGGTTGCTG